CAGAAATCAGAAGAGACTAACTTCAGAAGTCAGAAGTATACCAGGAAACAGAATAGACTGTCATCAACTTTCATGGTTGCATCTTCCTACCCTTGTTCATATATCCATCAACAAACTGATAATGAAAAAAAATTAAAATAATATTTTGTGAACTTTTTGTCACTCTTCAAAATTACACAAGAAAACTGTTCTCACATTCAACATAATTCTTTCACATAATAAGACAAGATTCTTAATGGCACAGTACTTCAGGTGGCTTTTCAGTGCAGCGGGTGATCTGAATTATTAGACACACTTTTTTGCTCAGTTCTTTTTCTAATGGACTACAGGGTGAGATGAACACAAGTTTCAGAGCTCAAGTACACAGTATAAAAATGATCATAACTTACCAAGAGAAACCTGATACAGAGCAGTACTGTTTGGAAAAATTGATAAGGTTTATTAACGTATTTTCAGTTTTCATTAGAATGGGAATATTATTTTAATGTGAAGAAAATATTCATGTTTACAATTTTATAAGTAACACTAAGTTGGAATGGAGTAAATGAGAAAAATATATTCCTCAAAAAGTCTTGTCCATGTGATGTCAAAGCAATGGCACCTGGAAAGGTAAGTTATGCTGTAGTATTTATCATCTTAACTTGGTTTGCAAAGTGTACTGATTCAAAGTTTTTCCCTAGGTTGTTTGGTAAAGACACATTTTTACTGGACATTAGAAGGCTGATGTTGAACAGGTTGGTGATGCAATAAAGTGCCATCCCAGGTCATTCCCATCGTGAGCTATGGAAGGATATGGAAAGGTCAATGAGAAGACAAAGGCAACCTTTGATCTTCTGATCTCTGACAAAGATCCCAAGAGGTTAAGATTATGTAGAACAGCAGGATATGCTTCACAGTATCTTTCACAAATTTAGACAGAGATATATTGCCTCAAATATCCTCGCTTTCCTTAAAGAAAACCCTAGAGACCTAGAATCAATTTATAAAAACTCATTTTAAAACATTTTTTGTGGGTTCTAAAATTCCATGCTATGGAATTTTAAAAACATACTTTCCTTTCCCTACCTGTTTATCTTTGAACACACAGGATACCCCTTCTACTTCAGATATCATCAACTTAATTCATATTCTTCATGACAGAAGCTTCTTCACAGATTTCATCTTTTTAAGTTCATAGACATTCTTAGCAAATATTTGAACCTTTTAAGCCCTTCCATCAGTTGATTATTTTCATGATCTCTGCCTCCTATTTTACCTATCTATCTTGAAATATAGTAATGAAAACTATACAAAACAGTAAAAATATGGATCCATCATAGGTTCACACGAAGACAGGATGCTTTTTCTTTTGTTTCTACAACTATTTTCAATGCAAGTAAAAATCCTAAATGTTACCTTGCTGTTCAAAATGTTACCTCAACCAGAGGTAACATTTCAAAAAGAATTCTCACATGTACCATTATAATAGATTCTTCTGTTTATAGTCAAATGTTACCTATCAGTATTATATAATTGCAGTTCCTTCTAAACTCTGGCCAAATAACAAATAGTTACAAAGTACCTTAAAGCAGCCTAAAAAGAATGTTCTCAACAGAATCAGTGGAAATGTAAGCAGCTAACAAAATTTTCTATGCTCTAATATTACGACTACTACTTTCCAAAATAAGAACATGTTGATATAAACATATTTAGTGTCAGAAACAACTGAAACATGTAACTAAAGAATAAACTAAAAACACACAGGGTGCCTAAAATGTAGACAATAGTATCACATTTTCTTCCAAAAGCATTCAAAGAATAAAATAAAGGGCTGGAAGAATGGCTCAAGCAGTAGAACACCTGCTTAGCAAGTTCAAACCCCAGTACCACAAAAAAAAAAAAGATAAAACAGAAACTCTGCTATAAGAAGTTGCCATAACTAGACAAAGATTGACATATAACATCAAAAAATAGCAGCACAGAAATTTCTTCAAGAGATCATTACAAAAAAAATCATGACAGAAAATTTCACTCTGTAAGAATACTAGAGGTTGGTTTTTTACCATACTATGTACAACATAAACATCCGTCGAAACAATCTATTAAAAAATACTTTGGAATAAATGTAACCAAGGAGACAAAAGATGTGATCACTTAAAACTAAAAAACATTGTTGAAAGAAAGCATAAATAAAAAAATGAAAAGACAAACATGTTCATTGATTGGAAGACGATATATATAAAAAGATGATAATACTACCCAAAGTGATCCACAGATTCAATACAAATTCTTTGAAAATCTCAATGACATTCTTTAAAAAACAGACACAAATAAATCCATTCTAAAACTTTTATGGAATCTTTGGGGGTCTAAAATAATCGAAACAATCCAGGAAAGAAATAACAGAGGGAAAGGTCTCATGTTTCCTGATTTCAAAATTTATTATAAAACTGCAGTAATTAAAACAGTATATAGTATTGGCATAGTATAGGCATATATGTGGACCAATGGAATACAGAATCTGGAAATAAACATTTGCATACGTGGTCAATTGTTCTTAGAAAGAATGTAAGACCATTCATGAGGACAGAACGGTCTCTTCAACATTGGTACTAGGAAAACTAGATATGTATATGCAAAAGATGAAAGCTGGACCTTTACCTTATACTATCTGCATAAAATAACTCAAAATGGATCAGAGATCTAAATGTGAGATCTAAAATAGAAAAATTCTTAGAAGAAAACAGGAAAATTCATACCATTGAAATTGGCAGTGATTGAGAGCACACAAGAGAGGTATGAGGATAGGTAAGACACCCAAAAAACTAGATAGCATTTGCTGCCCTCAACACAGAGAAACTAATGCAGATACTTTAAAGTGAAAGAGGCCAATAGGAGAAGGGGACCAGGAACTAGAGAAAAGGTTAGTTTGAGAAGAATTAATTTAGAAGGTAACACACATGTACAGGAAAGCAATGTGAGTCAACTCCTTGTACAGCTATCCTTGTCTCAACTAGCAAAAACCCTTGGTCCTTCCTATTATTGCTTATACTCTCTCTTCAACAAAATTAGACATAAGGGCAAAATAGTTTCTGCCTGGAAGCGAGGGAGTAAGGGGGGAGAGGGAGGGTATGGGGTGGTTAAGGGAGGGGGCAGAGGGAAGGGGGGAGAAATGACCCAAACATTGTATGTACATATGAATAAAAGAAAAAAAAGAAATTGGCAGTGATTTATTGAATATAACATGAAAAAATAGACATAAAAATAACTTTGACTTCAATAAAATTAATAACTTTGTGTATGAAAGGGTGAAAAGACAGCCCACAGAAAGGAAAAAAAAATCTCCAAATCATGAATTTGAGAATGGATTCTATATCCAGAATATGTAAAGAACTCCTACAACTCAACAATAAAAATCCCAATTAAAACATGGGCAAGGAACTTAAATAGACATTTCTCCAAAAAATATATTCAAATACCCAACAAACACATGAAAGTATGTTCAACATCATTAGTCATTAGGGAAACACAAATCAAAAACACAATGAGTTAGCACTTCACACTCACTAAGATGACAATTATAAAAGAATTCAGCTGAAAATAAGTGTTGATGAGGTTGTAGGTGAATTAAAACTCTCCTGTATTGCTTGTAGAAATGTAAAAATGATGTAGAGGCTGTTGAAAACAGTTTATTGATTCCTGAAATAGTTAAACATAGAATTACCATATGATCTAGCAATTATACTCCTACCTAAAAGAACTGACATCAGGGACTCAAGCAGATTCTTGTACACCAGTATTTTAAATCACTCATAATAGCCAAAATGTGGAAGCATCCCAAGGTTTCACCAACAGATGAATGCATAATGAAAGGTGGTATATGCATATAGTAGGATATTCTTCAGCCATAAAAAGTGGAATGAAATTCTGATACATTCTACATATTAAGGTTTCAATATTAAATGTCCCCACAGGCTCATGTATTGAACACTTGTTCCCTAGCTGGCAGCACTTTTTGTGAGGTAATGAAAACTTTAGGAAGTAGGGCCTAGCTGAGGAAGTAGGTCAGCTGGAGCCTGCCTTTGGAAGTTATACCTGGTTCTTGGTCCCTTCTTCTCCACTATATAGTGAGTAGCTTCTGCCACATGCTCCCACCACCATGATGTTCTGCCTCATCACGGGTCCAGGATCAATGAGCCAAGGACTAAGGACTGAAACCATTAAAACCATGAGCCAAAATAAATTCCTTCTCCCTTAAGTCAGGCTTTTTGTCACAGTGCCAACACATCTGAATAATACACTACAAGGTGAACGAATATTGAAAACCTCATGCTAAATAAAATAAGCTAGACAAAAAGGAAAAAGAAATCATGATTCCATTTATATGAGGTACCTAAAATAAGCAAACTCATAGGTTAGAAAGTAAAACCAGGATCTGGGGAAAGAAGGGAAATTGGGCATGACTGATCAATGAGTATGGAGTTTCTACTTAGGATAATGAAAAAGTCCTTGAAAAAGAAAGTGGTCACGTGTATGGAATTATCACAATGAAACACACTCATATTATGAATGTATGCTAATTCAAAAATATAATAAAGCTATTTTAAAAAGTGAAAGTGGTGATGGTTATACACACTGTGAATGTACTTAATGCTAGCAAATTATACATATAAAAGTGGCAAATCATACATTACATACACTTTATAACAATAAAAACAATGATAATCTATTCAATGAATACCTAATGGTCTCCTATTGCAGCCAAAACCAACTTTGTTTAGATTTCCAAATTATTCTATGTTACAAATGTACTCTGTGTAACGCACCCATATTAAATGAATCTCTCTTGAAAAGTAGACACTGGTATATTGTACATATCAGATACCCTAGAAAACACAAATATATTTGCACTCTAATTTTATTGCTGTTTCATTTATCTACATTAAAACTCAACAGGTCTTAACTGCTGATGGGCTAAATATATGTGTTTATAGTCCAAGTGCTAAAAATAAACATTGTACCTGGTAGAGCATAATAGGTTCTATGTCATATCCTAAGGTTTCAGCAAAGTTCTTAGCGATGACTGTTTTTCCACAGCCCTACAAATAGAAACACAACTGTTCAAGGGATGAGTAAGAACAACCAAAACCCAGGAGAATGAAGTGAACAGTGAGGCTGCCATTCTTACCTTTCCTCCAACTAAACATATGTCCTTAACCATATGAGACTGCATCATTTCAGCCAGTAGCTGCTTATGACTTAGCGTCTGAATGAAACAGTCTGGTGCACAAAATTGACTTAATGGTCTGGTCCCAGCTGGCACCTATAATTAAAGAGAGGTAAATAAAATATGCATGTATTTTTCTTAAAATTATTAGTACTTAAAGTACATAACTGTCACTTAAATGGCCCTTATCAATTCCTTGCTCAATTCAATTCCATTCTGGTTTTAATATTTCAATAGAGCAGCAACTATTTTCCCATTCACAGATATGATGATTCTTATCATCAAACCTCCAAATTAATTATTCCTGGAAAATTAAAGTCCCCTGCTGTTAAATATGTTCATAAATCATATCATTTTCATGCTCTATAACTACAATAAAAAATCATTAGTGGAGAATGAAGAATTTTTCCTCAAATTCCAGTTACAAGCCCAGAATTTAAAAACTAGACCATATTAGAATCTCCAAAGTCACCAAGGAGCTCTGGATTTCTGAAATGCCATGTCCTCTACGGTCATACCACCCTGAACACACCCGATCTCATCTAAAACACTATGCCCACAAATTCTTTTCACTAGTATCTGAGTTTACCACTCAGAAACATCTATTCATTAAAAAACTCTCCTTTTATTTTAATTTTATTTTTAGTTGTTCTTTCCTTCTTTATTCTTTGTGGTCCAGATTCATTGGATTTTAGTCTTGATTGCTCTTTCTTTCTAAAGGAACTTTTTATAAAAATAATTTTTTAACTCATACATAAAAACAAAAAAAATGTTCATATTAATAGAGTACTGGTGATGTTTTGATACAAGTAGATACTGTGTAATATTTAAGTTATATTAAACATATCTATCTCCTTCATGATGAAAACTGAAATTCCTTTCTCTTAGATTTTTTTAAACATACAGTACCTTATCCTTAGCTATTGTCGCCTTACTAAGCAAGAGCATACCAGAACTTCTTGTTCCTGCCTTTCTAAAACTTGGTACCCATTGATTAACCTCTCCAAGCTCTGGTAGCCACCATTCTCCTCTTTTACTAGTCTCTTGGAGCCATGATCTGCTGAGGACTAAAGAATTGTAAGTTTGGAAACACTAACATCAGATTTGCATTTAAAAAACATTACCCTGGCTTTAACCTGGAAATCTAACTGGAAGGGATAGGAGGAATGAAGTTAGAGAGCCATTCCCAAGGAAAGCAAATAATGAGCACAGGTTCATACCTCCAAACATTCTATTTAAATTGCCCAAAGTATCCTATTACCTTTCCACTCCTGAGCCACTGGAAAATCCTGCCATTCTTCAAGACTTAGCTCAAGCTTTACCTCCTTCTACAATGTCCCCTATTCCTCCCTCTGGAATTACAGTATTACTTCCTTCTCTAGATCCCAGCTGCCATTCACTCCTATGCAGTCCTTACTCACTGCCTCCATCCTAGACTATCACAGGCCATTCAGCTGAAGGAGACAGAAGACAAGTACCAGAAAGTGGCCCTGTCTAGAAATCCCAGCTGCCACTTCCTGGTTGGTGCCCAGGGGTGAATCAATTAATCACTGTACATCTGAGTTGTATATAAAATAGTGATAATAAAACTTACCTTAAGGGGGTGGGGGAAAGGGGGAAAAATGACCCAAGCATTGTATACACATATGAATAAAAAAAAAAACAATAAAACTTACCTCTAGGATTACAGGGTGGTTTAAAGGGCATAATGTATGGAAGGAGACAAATACAGTGACGAGTAAATAGTCACTATTTACTAGTAAACAGTAAAGTAATTACATAGAACCTGGCTCATGAAAGACATAATTTATATTTAATTTAATAATGAGTAAGTACAGTAACATGAATAAATATTAGTAATATCCAAATTAAAACAATTTTTTTCTGTGTGTGGCACTGGGGCTTGAACTCAGGGCCTTCACCTTGAGCCACTCCACCAGCCCCATTTTTATGAAGGATTTTTTGAGATAGGGTCTCATGGAACTATTTGCCTGGGCTAGCTTCGAACCACGATCCTCCTGATCTCTGCCTCCTGAGTAGCTATGATTACAGGCATGAGCCACCAGCGCCTGTTTGCTCTGCTACAACACAAGCATTTGTTCATTCCTACATTCATATAGTCAGCATTTTCAAAGCCATTTTTCCTAGTTTCCCATGACATCATGGGGCTCATAGGGCCATAAAGGCAAGGATTAGAAGAAAAGGAAGTAGAACAAGCAGATGGGCTCTATGACCAAATATCATTCCCCTTTTCTATAAACTGTTCAGCCAGAACAGCTCCTCTTTGAACTGTTTCATGAAGCTGAGAAAGATTTTATTCAAAAAGAGGGCTCTCTATTACCTAACATATGTTTTGGAAACACTATTTTTTACCAAGGATAGGACACAGTACAAAATGCTTCTATTAATCAACATTTGACTTGTTTCTCCCAGAGGTACAGTAGATTTTTGAAAAGCTGTCCCTCTGTCTCTCCTGATCTTTCCCATTTATAAGCACACACGACTCTGGATACACAGATGTACAAATACAGATATACAGCAGTGGTGCTATAGAGACAAAGACTTGGAAGAGGATCACATACCTAATTGAGGACATAAAAATGGTCAGAACAAGAACAAATCTAGAATGAATAAACCTATCACTCATTACCTTAATTGTCACCTCTTTTCCTGCAACTCGGACAGTCACACAAGCTCGAGAGACATGGTTTTCAGTCATCCTCTCCACTCTTACAATCTCTTTAGGAAGCAGAAAGCTTTCTGAATCTTGGAGCTCAAAGCGCTGAAAATTACAAAAAAGTCATGTAATTACATTGGATATCTGGAAGATTCTATCTAATTAGAACCGAAACCACTCTATATTATAAAAATAAAGATAAAAGAGGTAATGAAAATTTTTTTCTAATTTCTACTAATACCTTCCTGGTTTAAACCAATTATTAAAAGAGTTCCTAAAATTTACTCATCAACAGGAAATGGAAATGCTTAATTTCTGACTTGGTAGAAATTCATAATCCACACTTCCTAAAAATGGAATTTCTAAACTGCTTGAAAGGAATGATGAAACTCTTCAAAACATACTTGTGGTGTGTGTTTACTTCACAAAAGACCTGTGTTGATTGATTTCTTAAGTCATCATGAAGTTAATATTACCTGAAACTCATGAAAACAGAACTTCTTGGACACCATTCTACTGTCTGCTTGTGTGGATAGCTTAACTGATCAAAAAAAATCATGACAATCAACCTTCCACGGCAGCTGGCACAGTGCCTTCTCTACCACAGGGCTCTCAATATTGCTTAAATTATATAGAAAAGGCCAGGACCACTGATTCTTTATGCGTGGACCAGCTATCAATGTTCTAACCTTGACTATATCCCCTCATAACAGCTAGAATACTAAAAAATTCCACACAGAGAACAAAGATAAGTATGTGAAAAAATAAGAATACTAACTGAAAATGAATTAAATCCTATGCTTCACAACATGTTTAATATGAAAAACTGAGTTCATTCTTAGTATTAAATAGAAAGTATTCCTCCAAAATCTTATACTAGTTTTGGAACATTATCACTATAGTAAAAAAGAGTTATAACTCACTGAAAGAAGAGACAATCATCATGTGTTCAACAGAACTCTAGAAAACAGATTTTTTCAGAAGAAAATCATGTTCAACCTCAACACTTTAAACAAAGCAGCCCAGCTGAAGCCTTCATCTTGGAGTCAGACGTTGTCAAGACAATCACTAACTCCTTTCCCTACCCCTAAGAAAAATGATTTACCTGTTCCACTATTTAAAAAATAAGTTCTATACCATACACAATTTATATATGCAAATCCCCATAGTATGTAACAATTTTGTAAGAACTGCTTCCAATTGTAGACAAATAACTACTGACACATTGATTTTGTACAGAAAGTGCTACATTGTATTTTAAGGGAAGTTTTATAGTAAAGGAGTGAGGCCTAGCCAAGTAATTAAATCCATTAGAATTCAGACCCAAGAGTCATTAATTTCTAGGAAAACAAATAAATGAGCTATAGTAATGTCATTCTAAGTTGCTATACTATTGATGTCAGAGCACTCATATTCTAAAAATGAACATAAACATACTGAATTATTTGCTACACTGGTTATGTCCTTTTAAATAATGCAAGCTAAAATATTTCAGTGGCATAAAAACAGTAGACTAGATTACACTAAGATAGTGAAAGGACTCAAGTTTCAAGGTGGATTACCATTTGCTGGAATAAGAAATTTAGAGCATTGTTAATCAGAAAGGTAATTTAGGACTATAGAAAACATATAATTCTTTCAGACTACACACTAGAAAGATGTACAAAATCAGAAATTTATTTACCTTACCACTTTATGAATTTTTCCTGTGAATTACTGAGCTTCAATTAAACAAAATGAACTAAAATTTTCTGACATACCTTCTTTAGAATTATGTGAGCTGTGATTTATAATTAAATAAAATGAAATGTAAATCATAGAGATGGCATTCTATAAGGCATCCACGTTCACCTTTATAATTCCCAAATATTGTTGATTTAGTTTGTATACATGTAGGAAAACAGAACAGTGAAACTTGTTGAAATTGTTCTAAGAAGGGAGAAGGGGCAGCCAAGAGAGAATTGAGGTCCAATGCCAGTCCAGGCATAAAGCAAAATTAAAGCAAAAAGGACTAGGGGCATAGCTTAAGTGGTACTGCACACCTGCCTAGCAAGCACAAGGCCCTGACTTCAAACCTTACTACTACCAAAAAGAAAAGATAAGGTTATTTCTTGATTTTACATCATTTATGAGTATCATCCTTCTGCTTCTGCTCACCATCAAACTTATTTTACAAGATGTACAGACTCACTGCTTCATCTTCCTCATCTCCAAATTACTCTTAGATCTACTGATTTTTTTGGCTTACATTCTCACTTTAGTAGCACTACTCTTGGTAGGTTCACCAATAATATCCAAATTGCCTAATTTAATAAATTCATTTTCTTCCTAGTTCACTCATTTCTCTTTCTTGGTCCTTTTGCAGTCAGTACATGTTACAAGTCTTTAGGAGTGGGTCATTTAATAGACATTATCAACTGACAGAATTTAGGATGGGTTAGGGGGCTGTGAAAGAAAGTGAGAAATCAAGAATGTCCATAAATCTTAGCTTGGAAAAGTGAGAAAACAGAGATGTCATCAGGTAGTATGAGAAACTGGTAAGAAACAGCACATTTGGGATAGAGGCTAAACAATGTCACACAGTGGCATCCTTTTCAATTTGAGGTTTCCAGATGGATGTAGGTGTGCTTTCTATCTATATTCACTTTTTAAATAATCTCACCTAGCTGCATCATTTTATAAACCATCTATATATCCATGGGTCCTGGCTTTTGCTCTCCAGTCTCTCCTGAATTCCTGACTTGTATAATACAACCCCTTGACATCTCTATGTGAATAGCCAGCAGACATCCCATAAACAGTCCAACCTTCAGCTCTTGATCTTCCCCCATAATCTGCATCACTGACTTCATCATTAAAATTCTTCAGTCCAAAAAGCTTGAAATCATCCTTGACTTTATCTCAACCCTATATCTAATCCTTCAGCAGATTATATTTACTCTACCTCCAAAACGTAATCCAAATCTGGTCAAAGTCACCCTAATCACTCAACTTGATTATTACAATTGGCTGTTTTTTCTCTGCTTATGTCCTTACCCACCACAATCTACTCACTGCTCAGCAACCAGAGTGAGTCTGTTAAAATGATCAGTCATATGAGACATTCCTCAAAACCTTCTAGTGGCATTCCATCTTACTCAGACTAGTAGCAGAAGTCTTTTCAGTGGCCTACACAGCCCTATGTGATCTGACCTCCTTTACCTTCTGACTTCATCTCTTACTCACCTCTCCTCCACTCCCTCTGCCCCATTGCACTGTCCTTGCTGTTCCTAGCAGGTGTGCTCCAGCTCAGGGCCTTTTACTCTGGTTGTTACTGTCTGAAATGCTTTCTACCCACAGGACTTCACTCCTTCAGCTCTTTATTCACATGCCATTATTTCAGTGACAGCATCCATTCCTCAACTATCATATGATGTACTTTAATACTTGATTAACTGTTGCCCTTCACTAAAAAATAAGCACCACAAAGACAAGTGCTTTTGTCTACTTTGCTTACTGATGTATCTCCAGCACAGCAGTGCCTGGCTGATTATGTGGAAGGATGGATGGAACACATAACCTTTTTTTGAATGAAACATCTAAAAGTCTTCAGGCAACAAGACATCTCTGCAGCACTGGAAGCCACTGCTCTTACCTTCCTCTACAACAGTTTCTCCTAATATTTCATGAGAATACTGTCTGCTGTTCTATTCTGTCTCTCTTACTGCTTGCTCTTCTCCAGCCTAACTTGAAAATTCTTTCTTCACTATCCAGTTCTTACATGTGGGTGTTTCTAAGGTTCAGCCAGTTTTCCTTCTTACTCTTACTTGCTCCATGGGTTCTTTCATCCATCACCATGAATTCAATCCATTAATTATTCCAAAGCATTTATCTTTAAGATCAAAATCCTCCAGAACCAGATCTATATTTTCAAACCTACAGGACAAACCCACCTGGAAACCTCAAAGTCAAAGAGCTCCCACGGTATAGAGTGGTTTAACCCCTACCTAAATGCACTCCTTCTCCCACTTTTTCTTATCAACTAATGGCATCTGTTTGTATTCACTTATCCAAATTTGGATTCAAAGACATTCTGTATTTCCCACTTTCTCTCACAGACCCTCAACACCTTATATTTTATCAATTAGTAACATCTATCATCACACCTCTGAGACACTTCTTATGTTCATTCAATTCCTATTTTAACTGACCTACTTCACTTTATTATTGCTTTGACCAAAACTATTCACCATGAGCTACAGTACTATAAAATCATTATATTAAAATAGTTATTTATTAGAAAGTCTAATGCCCCCACCAGACTATAAATCCCTCAGGGGCAAACAGCAGATACTATCCATTTCTGAATCCCTACATTTCTGTATATGTATCATCATTTGCCAAATAATGAATGCTCAATTGGTGTTTGTTGAACTGGATGAAAATACTCAACACAAGTTCCTTCCAAGTTTCTCAGCAAAAAATTATAATTCAGATTATATTATCAGTGAACATCAGCAGTACTTGCTTTATAAATCACCATGGAAACGTACTAATTTAACCATTGTTATGAAAGTCCTACTTATACAGGACTGAGAAGCCTGGATGCATTTGCTACAAAATTGTGACAAAACACACCATTCTTAAAAAGTATAACAGCTTGAGAATGGAAGCATTTTCTTTAAGACATCTTTAACCAAAAGCTGGAAGTTATTTCATGACTACAGAGATACGTTTTAGAGCATGGACATCGCATGATAAGCACCATCTGGAGAATGAAAGTCATTCCAGCCATTTTTATAGCAAGCTCAGAAAAAAGAAAGGTGTGCCTCATTTTAGCCAACTGCATTTTCAGTAAGTAATAATTTTATTTTAAAATGCAGTCTAGTATAGCTATCCTTATCTCAACTAGTAAAAACCCTTGGTCCTTCCTATTATTGCTTTGTCTCTTTAACAAAATTAGAGATAAGGGCAAAATAGTTTCTGCCAGGTAGCGAGGGGTAAGGGGGCGTGGGGGTTAAGGGAGGGGGCGGGGGAAAGGGGGGAGAAATGACCCAAACATTGTATGCACATATGAATAAAATAAAATTTTTTTTAAAAATAGGAGAAATTTATTTAAAAAAATAAAAAATAAAAATAAATAAAATGCAGTTTAAAAAATAAATAAGTAAAATGCAGTCTAATTAAATGATTACTTTAAAATTCAAATGGATATATAACTCAAATGCCACTTTTCAGTAATTTCTATGACAATCTATGAGAGAAAATACACCTCTTCTTAATTCATGTAATAATAGATATTTCCACTCCTTAAGACTTATTTTTCCAAATTCAACAAAGTTCCTCTCCTATTAAAGTTATTTAAGCATATAGAATATTTTGTTTTATAGACTAAACACTATTCTTGAATATTAGGTAAAGATAATGTTTTGAAAAAAATATAGAAATTTAGAATAACAAGCAGGTTACAGAGTACCCAGAACAGATCACAAAGAATTATACCAATTCTACCAAAGGGTGGTACACTGTTTCACCCTTAGGAAAAAATATTTAATACCTTTACATATATAATTATGTACACATCAGTATATAATGATCTTGCCAAAAGAAAGTTCTTTAGTTAGAATTATGCATTAATTAGCACTTCTGATAATTAAGATGAGAGAAAATAGTCATACTTTTTCTTCACTTATCTGAGCAATGTCAGTCCCTTTCTTTCTTTCTCCCCCCCCACCCCCCCTTTGGAGATACTGGGGACCTTTTTTCCTTTTTTAAAAACACAAACAATCAAAATTAAAATCAGTTCTGGGGAAGAGAGATAAAGGAGAATGATGGAGGGGGTGAATTCAACTATGATATATTGTAAGAACATCAGTAAATGTCACAATGTAACCTCAGTACAACAATAATTTAAAAAATCAGTTCTGTTTGTAAAAGGAACCTTTAATAATATTTCTATGTTTCTCCTAATTATAAAGACCAAAATGTAGGGCAAACACTCAGATGTCGCGTGCACATCTGTAATCCCAGCACTTGGGAAGCTGAAGCAGAAAGGTTCCACGTTTGAGGACAGCCTGGGCTACACAGCAAGAACTTGTCTCAAAAAAAAAAATAAATGAATGAATGGATAAATAAGTAAATAAACAAACAAATAAATGGCAAACAAAACAGAAGAACACTAGCTACTTTCTTCAGAAAATTCCGTTCTTTAAAAATCTTCCAGAACTTTATGTAACTTGTGTGAGAAGTTTTACAATTCGAGATTACAAACACACTGAGCCATCTCTCTGCATGTGTTCACACCTGACCCACCCAGACATTAATTGGAGTGTGTTCTGGAGTTGTGTCACAGAAAGCTCTACTCTGCTTCATTTTCTCAGGGCTTCCTCCCTGCCTGCGCTCCCTTGTTCCCGAGTCAGGAGTGCTTTGCTGAGGGGCACTGGGAAACTCATCTGGAAATAAGGAAGCTTTGCCCTTCAACACCAGGTGCTCTGCACCAGTGACCAAGGCCAAGTTGACTCAGATGTTGATTCAATCACAGATAAGTTCCCATTCTCTTTTTTCCAGCTTCTACAGTAAACCTTAACATGAACTATGTAGTCAGCGATAGTAATTTCCTGACTCCTGAGCCTATTAATAAATTTCCCCATTCTTCATTTTTTTTGGCAGTCCTAGGGTATGAACTCAGGACTTCATGCTTGCTAGGCAGGCACTCAACAACTGGAGCCACACCACCATCTCTTTTTTTCTATTAGTAATTTTTCAGATAGGGTCTCATGTTTTCACCCAGAGTCAGCCTAGACCTTGGCTCTCCTACCTATGCCTCCTAAATAACTGAGACCACAGGCATGTACCACTACACCCAGCTTGTGAGACAGGGTCTTGCTAACTTTTTGCCAGGCTGGCCTCCAACTGTGATCATGCCAAACTGTACCTCAAGAGTAGCTGGGATTATAGGCATGAGTCACCATGCTCAGTCCTCAGATGATTTTTAATATCCCCTATCCTTCCTCCCTCTCTTCCTGTTGCTGTTCTTCCTCCTCTTCCTCCTTCTCTCTCTCTCTCTCTCTCTCTCTCTCTCTCTCTCTCACACACACACACACACACACATACACACTCACACACACAGCAGATCTCCTTCCTCTCTTTCATTGGTGGTTGCTATGTGACTGCTTCTGTTCTCTGCTGTCTCTTCTACTTTAGCTCGCCTCTTCACTGACTGCATTCCTCCTTGCTTCTTTATGCTTTCCTTTTAGATTCTGCCCATAACTAGTCTTAAGAGAAACAGCTATTTTTTTATTATTGCTGACATCCCCAATCAATGAAAATATTTTTCTTTGGGTTCTTTAGCTAGCTAATCTGAAAAGAATACCACTGCAGCAATTACCATCTACCCTTCTGAGGTCTCACTCACTAGATGCATACAGGGTGCTCTACCCCCAAATATTACATATGAATTTGAGGATGGGAGAAAAAAATACCCTACCATATGCTTAAGGCTGCCAAACCCTGGCCTCCAGAAAACGGAGGCTTAGCATGAGAGCTTAGCATTAACATTCTGCCTACTCCTTAGAAATCTGTACCACTAGCCAGACTGTAAAAGAGAAACAAAAATTGTCTTTCACAATAAATCTTTTCCAAGGGTCAACAATTGTAAGTACATAGTTATGAGATATCACATTAATGTTCTGGCCTTTTAGAAAACACCACTGTTAATTTTATAACAGGGAAAATATGCCATATATATTTTAAAAGTAATCCACAAATCAACATGTGACAAAAATGAGACTATTAGTATAAATGGTAGCTCTATAGCAACTTCCATAATTTTATATAAAATGCCTGACTTTCAAGTTAATAATTTAACTTACAGGAAAATAAATTTTAACTTCATGTTACATCATATATTTGTTTTAAAATTTTTATTTTCAAATGTTATATTGGATATTTACCTTAAAATTTTCCATTTTGAAGAAAGTTCAAAGTTAGAGGAAAATTGTAGGACATACTTGTACAAAGAATTTCTATTTCACTTTCACCCAGATTCTCTGATCACTAACATTCTACCATATTTTTCTCACCCTCCTCCTCCCCACATACATGCACATGTTCCCAAATACACACACACAAGTGACTTTTTTCTGAACAATTTGAGAGCAAACTTCAGATGTGATACCCCATACCCATCAACATTTACTCGAGGTCATACTCCCTTAAAACAAGAACTACAAATTTCAAAATCATGAAATCACATTGAACACAGACATACTGTCCAATTCACAGATCCTATAAGTTTTACAACTATGACACACAATATCACTTGCTGCTGTCTGGTCCTAGATTTAGTGCAGGAAGAAATGGCACATTAAGTTATCATGTCTCATCAATCTCCTTCAACCTGGGAAACTTCTTTAGCTTTTTCTGTCCATCATGGTCTGAACAGTTAAAGAATAAAAGTTTTCATTCTGTGTGATGGCCCTCAACCTACAACTGTACAATATTTCCTCTATGGCTAAACTCATATCCTGACCTCTTTGCAGGAATTCACCAGAAATGGTACTCTTCTTAAGAGGTACACAATGTCAATTTATCCCATGTAGTCAAGTTGATGTTTACTGTAAAAATATCACTTACCTGTTTTGTAGTCAATTGAATAGTTTGTGGGGAGAAAGTATTAGATTACATCAATATTCTGTTCTTCATAGAAGCACCACCCACCAAACTTAACATCCTTGGATGACACCTTGCCAAATCAACCAAATCTCTGATGGCTGCTAATTATTATTTCTATAATTCTTTCTGTATTTATTAGTAAGCATTCTAAGCCATGAACCAGTGGCTCATGCCTGTAATTCTAGCTACTTGGGAGGCTAAGAATGGGAGGATTATAGTTCAAGGCCAACCCAGGCAAATAGTTAACAAGAGCACATCTTCCAAAAAACCAGAGTAAAATGGACTGGAGGTATGACTCAAATGGTAGAGCACCTGCTTTGCTGGTGAGAAGGCTTGAGTTCAAACTACAGTCCCACCAGAAAAAAAAAAAGTATTCCAAATGAAGAGATTTTTGCTTTTCCATATTCTTAAATTTTGTTTTTATCAGTATAGACTCATAGATTCCTATTTTATGCAATGGGTTATATAATAAATTACTATCATTATTTATTTTTAATGCTCAAACTATCAAGCTGGCTCCTCTGTCATTTTGACATGTCAACATCATTCATTGAACATAGCCTGACTGTCTGGCACAATAATATGTTCCAAGTTCATTTTGTCCACTTTTTTGGTCCAACCCTTGAGTTAGCCCTAATTTTGATTCCTATTTTTTTTTTTGGAAGTGTGATATTTAGAAATCAATGTCTAGAAACTTGGTGTAGTAATAAGTTTTAGGCTGTCTTAGGAGACAGAACTAGACAATATGTATATATACACACACATACTATCTTTATTTATTTATTTATTTTTCTTTTATTCATATGTGCATACAATGTTTGGGTCATTTCTCCCTCCTTCTCCCCTCACCCCCTCCCTTACCTACCTCACTCCCTCCCTCTCCCCCCATATTATCTTTTTTTATTATATTTACTTGTTTATATATTGAAAAAACTTATTCATAATCGTATCTCCAATTGCAGTCCAAGACCCAGGGTTCTTTCATGCCTTTTCCCTGTCTATGTTTATACATCATTCCCCATTGGTGAGAAGTATAGCTCTCATTATCCTCAGTATGTCTACTCATTCGCCCAGGGTACCAATCTCCCACCCACACCAGACCCTTGCTGCCTGCTTCCCTATCACTGCTCTCTAGTTACTGGCATCCAATGCTTTCAAGTCTGAAAAAGAAGAGAAGAGAAGGCAAAGGAAAGAAGAAAGATGGGGAGAGTACCACAGCAGAGAGAGGGAAAGAAGAAATGGGAAGATGGGAAAGAAAGGAAAGGAATGAAAGGGAAGTAGATACTCACTTTTAGAACACCTTCCACAGCCATCTTTCCTTCAGGTCCTAGTAAAATGGTATATGGATACAGCCACTGGATTGCATGTTTGATTGACATCATAGGAAAGGAATCCTATTTGGAGCAGACATATATAGCAATAAGCAACATCTAATATAATCATGGCAAATTTATCTGAAATATATGCACATACATGCCACTAAAGTTACCTTTATTTTCCAGAAGTATAAAAACTAAAATAACAAATGATTTTCTAGAAACGTAAACACAAAAATATCATTTCCTCCTCTTTTCTCCCTGTAACTTCTTCCTGGGTATCATCACTTACACCCACTTTCATGCATGTGTTGATGGCTCTCATAGAAGCCTATGTTTAGTCCTGATCTCTTTCCTGAGCTGTAGACCTGAATCTTCAATTACCCATCACATGAGCTATAGAATATGGACTGAACACATTTGAAGCCATACACATTCCCTCTCCTATTCACCCTGAAGTACCCCACTATTCTTCTATTCCTAATCTGAGGTCATCCCATCCACCTAGCTTCATAATTATAACTGCAAAATTAGAAAGTTTTCACTATCCTCAAATCCTCCCTCTGAAATAAACTGCACTCTCAAATTGGCCCACTCCACTGTAGAGAGTCATACTGACAGGGATGAATACACAAAATCTCACCATAGACTGTCTACTACATGATTTTATCAAATTACTGTTAATATGGTACAGCGTGTGATAATGGTGTTCTGGCTATGTACAAAAATGTTCTAATTCTTAGAAGTCATACACTTAAGCATTTACGAGAATACTGAAATGTACTTTCAAATGGTTCAGGGAAAAAGTTGGGAGAGAGGGTAGTCATACGAGCAAATGTGGCAACATGTTAACAAGTAGTGTTGCAAGGTACAGGGATTATGGATGTTGCTTTAACAATTTTTCAAATTCTTTTTTAGGCTTGAGAATTTTCAAAGTAAAAAGTTCTCAGCAAAATCAAAAAGAATGAAAAGTATGAGATTTGATAAGCAGGAGGAGAAATGTTGTTCTAGATATATAGAACAATGTAAATGGTGCCTGGGAAACCTAACTGCCTGTTTCACTAGAAACATTTGATAAAAGCAATACACATTTTAAAATAAGTATTTTGGGCTGAGCACAGTAACTCATACCTGTAATCCCAGCTATTTGGGAGGTGGAGATGGGAGGATGGCAACTTGGAAACAGCATGAGCCAAAAGTTAGCAAGTCTTTATTTCAAAAAAATAAGTTGGGCATAGTGGTACATATCTGTAATCTCAGCTAGGGAGAGCAGAGGTAGGAAAATGGTGGTCTAAGGTCAGCGCAAGCCAAAGCAAAAAAATATAGCAAAAAAGGGCTGGAGGTGTGGCTCAAGTGCTAAGCAAGTAGTAGGCCCTGAGTTCAAACCTGAGTACCAGCAAAAACTTTTTAAAAATAAAAGTAACAGTCTTATTGAAAATAAGAGCATAAGGCAGTATTCTCATGGATTCAGATGACTGCCTCCTCACAGTCTTACCAGATTTTATGACAGCCTCCCCACACATCTAGGCTCTCCTCAGTTCTCCTTGTTGCCAACAGAGGTGTCTCCCTCTAACATAAATCTGAGCACTTCACACCCTGCCTACTTCATAACATCTGATGGAGCACCTCTTCCTCATCATAAAATCCAGGCAACTTCACTCACCATGCCAAGTACTTCACAATAGTGTTAGAACACACTTGCTCTGGGGAAACAATTTGTTCTCATTCTCCAAACATAGCATGCCTTCTGGAATTGAAGGCTTCTCAAAGTGTCCTCTGCCTAGAATGCCTTTCTATCACTCCATCACTCCCTCAGGACTGCCACGCCCTTTGTGTGAGTGTCTTTGGACAATGTCTGTGCTCCACCAAATTCCCTCAGGTCTGCTCACATCCTTCCTGTGGGTCTCCTGACTTTCCCATTCCACAGCCAGCTTTTATGGGTCTTTCCAGAAAGACAGTCCTTGGGTTCCTGGATCCAGTTGTGCTCACAAGCTGGGAGAGCCACTAGTGTCTGGGAAGTTGTGTCCTTTAGGATAACCATTAACCAATGATGGATGGATGGGTACTAAAGTGTGAGGGCCAGCCCCCATGCTCAGGTTGGGGTGGCTCTGAGGCCTGCCTCACTGCAGTAAACCTCTACTAGACAAGGCTGAAGTCTGTCTACCCTCTGTGAACAAGTCTGCCTACTCCTTCTCCAAAGCTACAAGCTCATTAGGGACTTAGAACATGTCCCTGGACTCTGTACAACTTACAACACTGCACAACAAATCAATCTCAGGCCTCTTACAGAAGACTACAAGGCACCAGAAGCAATTAATCCCCAGTGATCAAATTTCAAATTTCTTTGCTACATTTGGATATACCAGTCATTAATTTATTTTATACATACCAGGATTTGAACTGCAGCTGGCAAACTATCTAAAGGAAAATCTGGAAGTCCAAGAGTAGAAGATTCTTGGGAACAGAGAGTCGTGGCAAAGGACAAGAGCTGAGAAACCCTAAGGGGAAAAGACATTAAATTTTATTTGAATAGGTTTTTGTTGTCTTTGTTGCAGTGCTGGTGATGAAATCCAACACCTTGCACTTACTGGAAAGATCTCTACCACGAAGCCACAGCCCGAGCTTGAAAAGTTTTAAAATATAAAATTTGTAAGTATGTTAAATATAAAATAGCTGGACCATTTTAATCTAAAAAGATGGTCCTGCAATTAATTCTTAAAGAACAATGGCTACATATCATAATACTCACAGGCTGATTAGTTATACAGATGAATTTCCTAAACCCATCATAATATGTGAGCATTTCACAACCTGGTCCAAATCTACCCAGTCAGCCTCATTTCCCACATTTCTCAATCCCAAATCGAAGCTTTAGCCACTATGAGTTTTTAAATGCTGAGAGCAGATCATAATCTCACAGTTTGTTTTTTTTTTTTAAGTCACTTGAATTCCTTTATTTCATTCTCTACCAGCCAAAAGTCAACTCATTCTTTAGGACACATTTCAAATGTCAGTGACTTTGTGAAGCTTTTATAAAGTCTTACCCACAAATAACCCTAATATTTTGAAGTTATGGCACTTAACTACAATGTGTTAAACTAAGTTATTCACCTATCTTTCAACTCTACTAGATCTTGACCTTCTTAACACCAAAGATCATAGTTTATTGATTTTGTCACCAGCATTTACCAAACCCCTTAATACTGAAAAATTCTTCACAGAATAATTGTTCAATAAATGGATCCATCAATCAACCAGTGAACAGGCAAAACAAATTAAATGTAAGTGTCCAGTATTTATAATAAAACACACTTACTTCTCAGCAGGAACATTGGCTCCAATTGAATATAATAGCTTAAGTTGGTCCTAAAATAACATAGAAATATATCAAATCAATAACTAAGGAATACAACAGATTAAATGCAAATGTTTTATAGACATATTAAGCAAACACTATGTAACTCATCATAAAAATAATTTCTTAGGCTAGAGGTGTGGCTCAAGTGAAAGAGAATTTGCCTAGCAAGAATAAGGCCCTGAGTTCACTCTTTAGTACCGACAAACAAACACACACACACACACACACACACACACACACACACGCGTGCGCGCACACACACAGAGAAAATCATTTCATGATACATTTCATTTTATAAAAAGAAAAGTCAGTCTTTAAAAACATCCAGATGTGGTGCTGCATGCCTGCAATCTCAGCACTCAGGATGTTGCGGCTGAAGGACTCCAAGTTCAAGACCAACATGGGAAATAGAGCAAGTTCGAGGCCTGCCTGGGTTATATACTAAGACTTTTACTCAAAAACAAAACAATGCAAACATAAAACAAAACAACAAGAAAAAAAAAACGCTTTTAGACAAATAATGCTACAGTAATTTTTCTTCCTAGTTTCCAGAGATTTTCTTCATTCTCTATCCCTTTTTTCTCTCCATTAACTACTGAGAGGACATTTTAAAACATAGTTACATTTTTGTAGAATTGAATATCCTGTTGTAATCAATAATCATTTTAAAAAAATTTTCCTTGGTCATACTTACCTTGAAAGGTAGAAAATAAATATCTCTAGCTTGGAATCGAGATCGGAGAGGGGGGTCTAACGGATTCCCAGGGTACCTGGGCACTGGCAAACCCAAGGCAATCACTCGGAAATTTTCATTGACTCGGATAATCTTCCAGGCATCCAACTCTGCTTTAGTGTGATCCTAAGAAAGTAAGAAATAAGAAAACAACAGAATATGTGGTGTAGATTTTGGCTGCAAGAAATGCCAGGCCAAGAAAGTAGGCCCTGACCATGGAGAGGGCTGCATTTGAGAACACTCTCAAAACCAAAGTGTCAAGGAAGGGAGCAAAGTGAATCAGGATCAGGATGCCAGGGAAGGCTCAACTCGAAGACCGGTATTAGAAAGGCAGCTCACACACCAAGGAACAAAGGATCCTGGATCAGATCTCCAAGCCTTATTCAGTAACACATAAGGAAAATATATGACCAGAGGTAAAAAGGTAGTCCTAGAAGGAAAGACAGACCATCTGCAGAGTAGAGCTTGTCCACAGATCTTAAATAGATAATTTTGTTCATGGGTATATTTCTAGAAAAGCGTATTATCAGTAATAACTAACATGTTTGGAAAATTTACTACATGCTAAGTACATTTCATAAATTTCTCTCATTTAACTTTCCAGAATTTCTCTAACATTCCATGAATTTCTCATTTAACCACAATCCAGACACTTAATCTCCTTATTATAAGCAAACTGATGTTCAAAGAAGTTATGTAACTTGCCCATGGTCCTCATATAGAGGATCTGAGAGAATGGAAATAGTATAGATTTTGGAGTCTTAATCCTGGCTCAAGTCCTTGATACACACTCTAGTTAAATGACCAAACACATGTTTTTTTACTCTTGGAACCTCAGACTCCTTATCTATAAAGTGGAACTAATATCACCTGTTATTATGACTGCTATGAAAATTGAATGTGAGAATGTATGTGAAAGTAACTGATCCACAGCAGGTACCTGTGAAATGGCATTTCCTTCCCTCTCTGCCTAACTCTATCAATGGGTGTTTATAGCCCTAAGCAGTAGGATCCATGGTACTTCAAAGTTTGTATAAATGTGCATGTGGACATTTTGACAGAATAGTTCATAGCTTGCAGCTGATCTTCAGAGGGCACAGTCCACAAGACAGTGTGGAAACTTTTAACGTGGCACTCAAGGCCTTTCCTTGATTTATGTCTGACTCTCCCAATCTCAGCAACCCCGATCTTCTATAATCCTGTGCTTCAACCATCTTTTAAGTGCAACTCTCCAAATACACTGTGCTTTATCTGCACTGCTCCATTTGTAGGGGAACACCCTTTCCAGTTTGCACAACATAAACACAAAAAATCAAAGCTTAGCACAAATAATGTCTTCATAAAAATGGGCCCTTTCCTAATTGCCTCCCCCATAACAACCACTTTTGTAACCCTGCACTGTACCCTTTATAAATTTCTGCTATTGTACATCTATCTCATGCTAAACCCAAGCTCGAGAGGACTTACTGCCCACAGCACATAATAGGCAAAGTCCATTGACTGAATGCATGAGTTTGTTTTAAAAATAAACAATTATTTTAAGCATAATCAAAACGATAAATCATACATTGTTAAAATGACACTATGTCACATACATTAGTAACCAAGAATCTGAATCTAGCCCCTGTATGAGAAACAAAGAGTACAATTCTCAGAGAACTATTTCTATATTTCACTTACCTGAAAGTGATAGGCAGACTACAAATAAAGTTTATACAAAAATTACTGTTCTATTATAACAAACTCTACTATAGTCATGCCTATGAAGTCAGTAAGATTTTTGTGATATTAAGTTAGTATACTGAATCTACCTAGAAATAAGTACGACTTAAATTACAGCACTGGATTCTTTTATCATAAAAAAGTACCCTATGAAGGAAATGTTTTGTGAAGGATTTTGTCTATTTTCTGTGAGATTCTCATGAGAGAGATCTTATAAATACATTAAACAACATTTGCCAATGGAAATGATATATTTATACTCATGTATACTTAATAGTATCTGTCGATAAGTAGCAGATACTTATTATTTAATAATAACAAGTATTTCTTGTGTACTAAAACCATTTTCCCTCCATGTCACACGTTCCTATCCAATGTAATATTATCAAAAACTTTACACAGAATTCTACTATAAGAATAAATATATCAAGTTTATTGTTCTTAAGCTTATGCTTTAAAAACAATTGACTCCATATTCTGAGTAATATTCTTTTTCCAAATCACTTACTAAAACTAGTAAAGAACTAATAAAATCTCTAGTATCAAATACTTATTTTGTAATGTGTCTAAAAAGAAGGTGTTCTGCATAATGTCCACCTACTCTTCAAGACAAATGATAAAAATTGCTTTCATTTCAGCAAATGAACTATAATAACATAAAGGAATAAATTTAATTTTTTCTTATTGATTAAATTCTCAATTATCCTCTTTTAGTTGTATTAAAATGAGATGATCTTTAGATAGATCTAGAAGAAATGGGCTCTACTGCACAAGGAAAATGCCACTAGAAAGGCCAATAGACAGTAAAGAAACAGAGTGTTAGGCTTGTAAGATGGCTTATAGAGAAACAGACTCATCAGTAAGAATCAGAAAAGGATGTTTCTGGCCCTGCCAGCCACAGACTGTCAGTTCAATCAGATCCTGTGGCATCAGCATCTATTATTCAGTGCCTAGTATATTCTGGGCTTGTATTAACACCCTGGAAGCAAGATCAAGAAGTACAAGACACAGACCTTGTTCTCAAGCATTGTGCAACAGACCTAAGGGTAGTAAAATTAGCACATAGGTATCTGCACAAGACAGGTGCAAGAAAGACTCCCACTCCTTGAATGCTAATGCAAAGCAATCAGTCACAGAAGGCTGCACTGAGCTCTAATGTGGTGCAGCTGGAGTCAAATGAACAAAGACTAAGCAGTTTATTGTCACTTGTGACCCCACCCCCAAAGCCTTTGAAGAGCCCCTCATTCCATAGTTGTTACCCTCTTTATATGCACATGTATCGCAACATTTTTATTGTACTTATTTACTCATTCAATAAATAGTTATTGAATCCCTACCATATGCTAAGCATTATTTAGGGAGTTTGAGATAACGTCAGTGAAAAAAATCCCTGCCCTTGGAAAACTTGTATTTTAGTAGAGGGAGGCAGACCATGAACTAAAACCACAAAAAATAAGCCATACAGAATGTTAGAAAACCACACAGAAGAAAATAAAGTAGGGTGAGGGTGAGCAGGAGCAGAGGACAGACTGAAATTTTAAATGTAAGAGGCAAGGCAGGCTTCACTGATAATCTAACATTTATTAAGCAAAGGTTTAAAGGAGATATATGACTGACCCAAGGAATTACCTGGAAGAAAACTATTCCAAGAAGAGGAAAGTAACTATGCAAGGGCTGGAAGGCAGGAGAAGTCTACTAAGCAAATTCAAGGTAAAGAGAACGCTAAAGTTGGGAGTACAGTAAAAGTGTGTGTGTGGTTTAGAAGATAAAGCAAGAGGTAATAAGGGCTTAGATCGTACAGGGCACTGTATTCCACTGGAAGGACTTTGGATTTTGCTGAGTGGAACAGGAAGTCAATGGGATCAGAGCACAAGAGTGACCCAATTTGATGCATGTTTAAAACCATCACTGATTGCTGTACTGAGAATGGTGTGGATATGGGAGTAGGGAGTCCAGTTAGAAGCCAGGCATGAGATGCTGGTGACTAGGACCGTCAGGGTATCTTTAAAATATCATATTCATTTCTATCAATATCTACTAGATTTGGGGTTTTCTGAGGCTAAGATCTGCTTTATTCAGCTTAGTACCACTGATGCCCAACACTGCTTAAAATTCATTTGGCTTTTAGTAAACTGCTATTGAAAGAAAGGAAGAGAAGGAAGAAAAGGAGAAAAACAGGTAAGGGAGAATAGTTATTAAACTGACAACAACCAAAAAAAGAGGACAACAGAAATCCAGGAGGTCTTCTGACACGGTCTGCAAAGGGAACAATCTTGTAAAACCACTAACTCCTGAATAACCTCAGCAATTAACCAAAGATAAGGGCCAACGGAACCCTTGTCCTACTTCCAAAACGGCCATGTTTCACACAACAAAACGGCACTACCCACAATTTGACAGCAAAGTTAAAGCAGTGCTTTTCCTTCTCTTACTTGGAGAAGTTTGTCGTAGCGCTCAGCAGACATCAGGAAGCGTCCATCTTCCAGCTGCATCTCCCTGTTTTCCAGCAAGTTGTTCAACACAGGCAGAACATTCCTCTCTGCCTTTTCTAGGCCTTCCAAAACGAGAGTTCTGCCTTCCGTGGCAGCACGAACTGCACACTATATCCAAGAAACACAAAAGCAAAATGAGAATATTTGAGGTAGCAGAGCCTGGCCTAATTCTAAACCTGCATTTTTTGTTATAGAGTTGGAGAATCAGGAAAGCTGGGGTCAATCTTAATTTTCATTTTTCTGCCCAGAAGATCTTAGGTAAGTGATTTTACCTCTCTGGTCCAGTTTCTTCTTTTGTAAAATGAAGAGACTGAAAGAATCTCTAGGCTTCTTATCAGAATAAACATTTTAGATCAAATACCCATGAAACAGAAAATGAACAGCTATCTATGAACAAGTGACATAATTAAGCAAAGGAACAGGTTTCTTAATTAGAAAAGGGAAACGAAGATAACAATCTGGCCCGTCTATTCCACAAGCTTCTTGTGAGGATCAAATAAGCTGTGTGAGAAGGCTTGAAGACCGTAACGTTTGTGAATGAGTCATCATCAAAATGAATTCCAGTTTAGTGTGATGCTCAGTGCTGATAACATTACACAATGAGCAAAACAGAAAAAGAATCAGGTTCTACAGAGGCCTACAACAAACTGACTTAGCCAGTACTGTAAGTCTTCCAAAAAATTAATGAGGGAAAACAGGAACTAAAGTAAACTCTAAAATGATAACAGACAAGAAAACTGTAATAGCAAAAAAAATTATAAAGAGGTTTAAAAAAAAAACAAAACAAAGCAAAATCAAACACTCCCCTTTAACTGACAGGTCATGAATAATATAGAAAAAAAAATAACCTTTTTCATCAAAGCTCTTGAAAAAAAACTTTAAAAAGGAAAGTCTCAGTGACATTTCTCCTGCACATGCAACAGCAGATAGGATTAAGGAGGTAAACTTCTATTACCCCTCCCTCAAGTCTTTGGCCACATGACACTTTCTTAAAGAAGAGTTTCTCTTTCTCTGACTGTCAGTTAAATATAGATGGTGTCCAGAACCACACCTTAACCCAGTTCTTATCCTACCAGGTCCTTGTTGAAGAGCACTAACCACACCGTTCCATGCAGCTGACTCTTCAGTCTCAACCTTCCCTGAGCTTAGAACCATACAGTTCCACTGAATGGACATCTCCAGCTAGACACCACAAGCACCTCAGGTCCCCAGGACAGCACTGAATGCACCCTATTTTCCTCTAAACCCACTTCTAACGCATTCCACTGAAGGTGGGAATAACCATTCATTCACCCATGACAGGACCCTCAAGTCATATCTCACCTCCTCTATTCTATTTGTCTTCATATTCTGATCATTTAACCTCCTTGATATTTCTTGAACTCATCCTTTTCTCCCCCTCCCCTAGTTCAGGCCCTCCTTTCCTCACATTTCTTCCCTACTAACCTGAGCTCCTTAATGTGGCATGCAAGCTTGTCACAATCTGGCACCTGCAATATCATTTCCTGGCATCAGTTGCCTCACACATGTTCCTTTTGTGACTATGAACTGATGCTGATTTCCACCAACTCGTGTGCATACCATTCTGCTTTACTAGAAAACCTCCAACTTTACTTACAGTGAACTTTTTTCTTAAAATTTAATTTCCCCTTTAGTAACTAACACAAAAAAGTATTGAACATATGAAGGGGGAAAACATATCTATATACTTTTTTTTCACTTAATAAACAAGAGAAGTTCTGGGGTAGTAAAGAATTGATTTTCCAAGTATTGAAAATGGAAATTGCTAATCAAGCTTGCATATGGTTTCCTTTTAACCAAGTGCTAAATTTTACACTGTGTAACAGAGCTTAGTTTACTTCAGATGTCAGTGAACTATTAAAAAAACAAGATTTTTATAAGACTACATTAGACTAAAGATAATCATTCATATTAAAAATAAGATCAATTCATAGATAATCCTTCAAATCTATCATCCTTACAAATATGTTGATTCTCCCCTATAAAACTGGCCATCATGGCCAAGCATTGGTGGCTCATGCCTGTAATCCTAGCTACTCAGGAGGCAGAGATCAGGAGGATAGCAGTTCAAAGTCAGCCAGGGCAAATAGTTCAGGAGACCCTATCTCAAAAAAACTCATCACACACACACACACAAAAAGGAATGGTGGAGTGGCTCAAGTGGTAAGAGCACCTGCCTAGCAAGCTTGAAGTCCTGAGCTCAAACACTAGTGCTGCCAAAAGAAAAAAAAATGGCCATTATGTTATGATAGCTTTATTACATTTATTTATTTTTGAAAGATGCACCGATACAAGTGACTTAGCAGCCCCTAAAAAACAACAACAACAACAAAAAGGAAACTCACTTTTTTTTAACATTGTTATATGTATTTTATTTTATTTATGTATTTGTTTTTTAATTCTTATGTGCATACAATGTTTGGGTCATTTCTCCCCCCTCACCCCACCCCCTCCCTTACTCCCCACCCCACCCCCTCCTTCTCCCCACCACCCCCTTGATACCTGAGAGAAACTATTTTGCCCTTATCTCTAATTTGGTGTGGAGAGAGTATAAGCAATAATAGGAAGGACCAAGGGTTTTTGCTAGTTGAGATAAGGATAGCTATACAAGGAGTTGACTCACATTGATTAAGGAAACTCACTTTTGTTAACTATATACAGGACAAGCCAAAGAAACATTTCTGGGACACTGAAACTCAAAGCACAAACTACCTTCTTACAAAAACTCATGTTTCAGGTAAGGTCCCAATTAAATTTTCTTCTATAAGAATCTATTTACTCCAAGAAAGTGTAGTTCACAATAAAAAAAAAAGTGAACGAATTATCATAACCTATGACAAAATTATTTTTTAAAAAGCTAAAATTTTTATTAACTTTTGTTTCAAGACAGACTAAATTTTGTGATTGATTTTAAAGAAACTTTAAGCTGAGCGCCGGTGACTCACGCCTGTAATCCTAGCTACTCAGGAGGAGCAATCAGGAGGATTGCAGTTCAAAGCCAGTCCTAGGCAAATAGTTCGCAAGACCCTATCTCAAAAATAACCCATCACAAAAAAGGACTGGTGGGGTGGCTCAAGGTGTAGGCTCTGAGTTCAAACTCCAGTACCACAAAAAAAGAAACTTTAAGGGACGAAAACGCATGTTCTCTGAAATAAAATCAGAAATATACAGACCAAAGTTTTGTAGTTCACCCACTGTGGACAAGGGAAAACAAAGTCCTCACAACACAGGATAACAACAAACACATTTGCTCTGCTTTTATTCACCTCAGGTATATTTTGGTCTACTACGCATTGACTCTTTTCAGATGAATTCAGAATAAGCCACAGAGAGACCAGAAACAGAAGCCAAATATACAGTCTTTCTTTCATCTACTTTAATGGAGGTATTATAACTGGGAAATTGAAAAAGCAGTGGTGGATGGAAAGCGATAATACCATCCAATGATCTCTTGAAACTCTTACCACTGCTACACCCCTTCTCCAAAGTAAATGCATACAGGTATGTATAAGCAGCAGGAACCTCAAATTAAGAATATCTATTACTAAAGAAAAATAGACAGATTCGCCCATTTGGCAAGCACCATAGTAATAATTGTGACAGGCAAGAATCAACAATGGATGGTAAAATGAGTGTGTAAATGTCTGATGAGAAAGGTCTATCTGTATAGACTCAAAATATTTCCCCACAAGACACTAAAAATGACAAAGTGAAAAATAATACAACAGTGGAGGAATCTGCCAGAAGATCCCATTTTAACCATGTGATCAAAATTAATGTCACTGGTAACAAGCTCTATTAGTTTCACATACTAGACTTCTAATATATGATGCCTGAGACAGGCACAACATCACTTTTATAGTATTCTTGCTAAACTGCATAATTCCAGATCATGAGGAAACATCAGCCAAACCCACATTGAGCAACGTTCTACAAAATAACTGGCCAAGAAGAGAAAGGAGAGTCCTGCTACATGTAGGAACTGAGTTGGGGATAGTGTGAGTAATAGTGTTCACTTTTTGAATGATTCAAAGAGTTGGACATGCAAGGCAATACTCAGCAAAAAGAACAATGTTGGAGGTATTACAACACCTGACTCCAAACTATCTTACAAAGCAACAGCAATAAAAACAGCATGGTACTGGCACAAAAACAGACATGAAGACCAGTGGAACAGAATAGAGGACCCGGATATGAATCCACACAACTATGCCCACCTTATTTTTGACAAAGTCACTAAAAATATATGATGGAGAAAAGACAGCTCTTCAATAAATGTTGTTGGGAAAAGTGGTTAGCCGTCTGCAAAAAACTGAAACTAGATCCATGTTTATCACCCTGTACTAGTATCAACTCAAAATGGACCAAGGACCTTAATATTAGACCTCAAACTCTAAAGTTGGTACAGGAAAGAATAGGAAACACTTTGGAAGTAATAGGTATAGGCAAGGACTTCCTCAACAGAACCCCAGCAGCTCAGCAACTAAGAGAAAGTATAGACAAATGGGACTTCATAAAACTAAAAAGCTTCTGCACAACAAAAGAAATGGTCTGTAAACTAAAAAGACCAACCACAGAGTGGGAGAAAATATTTGCCAGCTATACATCAGACAAAGGACTGATAACTAGAATATATAGGGAACTCAAAAAACTAAACTGTCCCAAAATTAATGAACCAATAAAGAAATGGGCAAGTGAACTAAACAGAACTTTCTCAAAAGAAGAAATTCAAATGGCCAAAAGACACATGAAAAAATGCTCACCATAAAGGAAGTAAGATTCTACCTCACCCCTGTTAGAATAGCTATCATCAAAAACACCACCACCAACAGGTATTGGCGAGGATGTGGAGAAAAAGGAACAAACACTCTTACACTGCTGGTGGGAATGTAAACTATTGCAACCACTCTGGAAAACAATTTGGAGGTTTCTTAAAAATCTAAACATAGATCTGCCATATGATACAGCAATCCCACTCCTGGGGATATACCCAAAGGAATGTGACACAGGTTACTCCAGAGGCACCTGCACACCCATGTTTATTGCAGCACTATTCACAATAGCCAAGTTATGGAAACAGCCAAGAT